AATTTTTTAGCAGCCGGAAATTCCGGCCCCCATTTTTTCCCCAGCTTAAACTTTTTCCATTTTGAAAAAAAAAAAAGTCCATCAGAACCTCTTATTCCAGTTTGTTTTCAGTAGTATAGAAAGCTTTTGAAGTAACTTGCTTTGTTACTAGGTACAAACTGACAGATTCTTTCTATTTCCTATCAGAAACTGCAGTCAGTAACTACTCCCAGAAAAATTAGTTAAAACGGTAATTGCTATTAAGCTTTTTTAAAAACTCAGTTTAACCTACAGAGATTTCAAGCAGGTTTCACTGCCTGCATTCAGCCAGTAGCTTAAGTATCATATCATAAAACTTTCATGGTTTAGGAAGTTGAAGAGTTGTTTTAGACTACCCAAAATAAGACTTGTTAAATATTCAGCTAAATGGCTAAGTTTAGATTTCTGTTCCCTTTCCAAGGTCCAGTTAAAAGTATATGGAAATCTTCCTGGCAACCACAAGAAGACAATTTGCTACCATGCCAGCACATCATGGGTGAAATACAAGCTTTCTCACAGGTAAGCCACCTGCATGCCTGTGGCTTCTTCACAAAGTCTCACAAGCATTTCAATATTCCCAGCTATGGTCTCTAGCAAGCCTAACTCATCATTCCTAACAGTACTCCCTGTAGGCACAGGCTACCTTGGTACTATAAGGCTGCAAGTGTGAGTTGCACCTCCCAGCATGCCTTACACCATCTTTACTGACCCTTTAAACACCAGTTTGGGTGTTGTGACAGATCAAGTAGCTCACCACAGGAACCAGTTTTCTTGGTAAGAAAAAGACCAACCTATCCACACTGTGGATGGCTAACGAGTGATGCCATACAGGAGAGCAAATCCAGGCGCTACAGGGATGTGAAATATGTATGTATAAGGATTATCCAAATCAAAGATGACAGACATGTACATAAGAAAGGTACATATTTGAATTTGTTTTCTTCCCAATTATTAGAGGTCTTCAAACATACCCACTTGGTTTCAAAAAGTGTTTGAGCACCTACAGGTGCCAACAACCAAAGAAGCATCTGTTCTTCTGCCCAAGCCTAAAAGTGGCTGTAGAGATCAAAATCTAACATACAGGATAAAACCCAATTCAGTTAGGAACTCCTACGACATTAGAATAACAAATTGAAAACATGCATGTTTGTCCCCCAATTGGTAATCTTGCAAAACAGAATATATCAAAGAATAACTTCTATCTGGCCTAACTGAAGCTACATTGATCTAGGTTGCCTGTAACAGTTGCTCATATAGACCAAGATATTTGTGCATCCCTTCCATTATGTTCAGTATAAATAAGCATACATAGGGCTGTAAAAGTTCTCTCAGGAGAGATGAGGTGATAGAGCTGTGGCTTGGGGTAGCTGGTCACTTGGGGGGGGGGGACAGGGACAGAAATAGTTATTCATGCCATCTTTGACTACTCATTTATTTATATTGTGGGAAGCGTCAGGAAAAGACATCCTCTATGTCTGCCAGGAGTCCCTGGGACTACAAAACACTTACCCAACAGCACCCAAAGAGGAACTGCAGGGTTTAAGCTAGGAAAAAGATGAAGTGATATACAATGCATAAGAAGCCAAGAAACTGCTCGTGTGACACTGCTGCTGCCTGCATGAGAGCTCACAGAGGCTGGCCCCTTTCCCCACCAAGGCTGTTTAGGACTGTTTTGTCTTTAGCCTTCAAAGAACACAAAGGTTTCTAAGCAGTCTGAAGTCAGGGCACAAAAGTGTGATCTATCACGCTGAGCCATCTCCTAGCTTACCTGTGTAAAACGTCGTGTTGTTGGATTCCAGTTCAAAGATGCTTTTGGTCTGTGAATCAAACCGAAGCCATAGTCCAATTGCAAGAACTGCTGTCCCTGCAAGCTGTAAGAACAAGTAAGCCTTGTTAAATAATACCAATTAATACATTTACCCTTGCATTAGTAACAACATCAGAAGTAAACACAGGATACAGGTCTGTTATTTAAAGAGGTGGTGACAAAGAACCAGCATAAAAGGACGGGGATACCAAAACAAGAACAAACTTAGTTCCTGACATGAGGCATCTCGTTTATAGACACGTCTACATATTAAACTACAGCACACAAGAACAATGCCATTCTTGTTCTTTACTGAAAATAACCAAGGTTTACCAAAACACTAAGTGTCAGTATTTCCACTGACCCCTCCACCCATTGTTTTATTCGGAGTGATTAATGACATTGCACGGCTTAGTGATCTTAAATCTTCACACTGAAAGACAAGTGTAATGCAAGAAAAAGCACCTTTAAGGCCAGCTAGAAGTTTTAGCATATTAAACAGACTGGTAAGAGTTCAGTGTTCTGCAGTATAGAGTTTAGAGTGGTCTTTCTTGCAAAACAGGATAAAACCAATCCAATAAGTCACTGCACTGACAGGAAGGGGAAAATACAGGCTGCTAAAATAGCAACATTTCTGTGTGCTGATCTGGAACAATACCATCAAACTTTAGATAATATTTAGTTTTATTATATTATTGTCTGTGTGCCTCCAGGTTCCTTTTAAAATCAGTGCCTGTGTTTGCAGCAAGTTGTTGTGTGTATAAATTAGCTTCTGAATGAAACATCTGGCAGAAGGCATTGGAGAAGTGTTGCAAGAAAGAGGGAACTGCACGCTGGTAAGGCAAATACTAACAATTTGCTTTGAACAGGCTGAATTGTTCCTGCTTTAAAAAAGAAAGCCTGTGGTCATCTTGCATACAAAAACAAAAAAGAAACCAGGACAAACTAGAAAGCTGGAGAGTATGCTTCTCAGCTCTTCCTTCTCTCCTTTGAAGGCCTTTTAACTACCAAAAAACTCTACAAAAGTGAGATGAGGACAGAAATTGCAGCATTGCAGCAGACATTAAAAATTTAAACTTAAGATTGAGCAATAAGCTTAGAAAGTCCGGAGCTTTGGTTAGGCTAAGCAGGCATGAAAAGAAGAAGTAAAGCCTTATCTCTGATAAGAAGTTCCTTCTAAAAGGGAACAACATTCTTGATTTGCCTCCAAGAACTGGAAAGTGTTTACTTTAAAATGTTAATTTTCAGGGAGAATATGGAAGGAATTCCACAGAAAACACCCAACACCAAGCCTGACTCGCCCTGCCCCACGCTCTCCCCACAGGGAGAGCCCAAGAGCCCCTTCTCCCTGCTATAGGAGTGCTTGCGTGCACTGAAGGCAGGCACAGCCTTGCTGCCCATGGCTGCCTTTGCTAACCTCCTCAGCTTGCTCTTCCAAAAAAAAAAACAAACAAGGAAAGCTTTGAAGATTCACCCAGGACAAAGAGGATGGAGCTAAGCAAGGGTTTAAGGGAAGGTATACCCCTTGTAGCTTCTCAGCAGAAAGCATCCTAGCTGAAGTGTAAAGGGCTCAGGTATCAGTGAAGGAAAGCGAGAGGTCAGCCATGCCAGAAAAAACCAGCATTTCTTGTATGGCAGGCACCTGACTCCCAAGCCTGCCTCAAAGAGGAGCTGCAGGGTTTTAGCTGGGAAAAAGATGAAGTGATATGCAATGCATAAAGAGCCAAACCCAAATGGTGGTTTCCAGAGCGATGCAAAAGGCACTTTGTTGGTGTCGGAGGTGCATAGGCCCAGGCTTACTCACAAAGTGCACAGCAAGAACAAAGCCTGCACGTACCTACTGCTTTCCTTGTTAGGGCTATGCTGACAAAATAACTTTAAGTTATGCCAAAGAACCTTGGTTGTATATGGTACGTCACAACAGCGTTATTATTTCAATTTATTGTGCCACCGCAGCACCCCAGGGGAAGGGAGAGATACAAGAGGACTGGCAGAGAGAAGGGTTGCTGCTCTACCCGTGCTCACTGCTACAGCATCACTTAAAGCCTTTGCAAACTCATCCCACTTCAGTGCCTCAGTTCAAAAATCAGAAGGGCTTAGTGATGGGAAAAAACACACATTGCTTCTAGCCTACAGTTAAGACACCCAGTATTTAATAATACTCTGTTTGAGACTCACTTTCCTGGGTCATCAAACAGTCTTCAGCTTTTATACGCATCCAGATATGCAGCATTAGGAGAGGAAACCTACAGCCTTTGCTTGTTTTGCTAGGAACTCATGAATTGCAAAGCCACAAGCCTGAGCACACCCAGCTGTCTGCCCCTACCTATGTTTGTGGTTTGACAAGCCTCAGCATTCAAGTAGAGAGCTTGGGACAGTACTGCAAAGTGAACAGGGCACAGCAAAGGACAGTAAAACTAAAACCCAGAGCTGATCCCCCAGCAGACCCTTAAGGCCAGACTATTCAAATTGTGAAGAATCTCTAAGCCATACAACAACTGTGTAGATAATCTTACAAGTCCAAAAAAAGCAGAAGGCTCAGTTAATGATCTCTGAGAAAGAAACTGGTTGGTTAACATTAGGGAGAGCTGATGTACTTAATATGTCTCCTTTTAAAAAACAGACTTAACTCTGGGTGGTGGTGGTGGGGGGGAAGGGTAAAGCATCATGTTTTCTCCTTGGGAAAGCAGTCATCCTGTGAAAAAAGTTATCATCACAGGGAGGCAAGAGACTTACGGGATCACAGAACAGTGATAATACTTGATGTCAGTGAACTGCTCCAGATCACTAAGAAAACCCGTAGCATTAAAGTGATAATTCTCTCCATAGTGGACTTGGGGGGAAAAAAGCAGCTCCTTCTTGCAAGAAAGTGACTTTTTGTCTTGGTTTAAGGAAAGCAGACTTGTGTTCTCAGTTTGTGCTCACAATGTCCACTGATCTAAAAAAAGGCAGTTTTAAAGCAGAAGGCAAGACAGTAATTTGAAACTTCAAGTTTTTATCAAAACAACCAGAGACTAGGCCACCAAGGCCTAGAGAGGAAGAGGAAGAGGCCAGCACAGCCCCACAGGCACCCACTGCCTTTGGCAGCATCTCAGCCCAACTGGGCAGACTGGAGGCTGGTACACAGCCACCCCTCTGCTCACCAGTGCTACACCCGTAGGTTTTGGCAGCCATGTTGGGGCACTTTTGATAGCTGTTGTTTTTCCTTCCTGGGAAAGGGGTGCAAGCCTCCCCTGCCCAGGCTGTGTGGAAGCAGATTCCCTGAAGAGCTAGTTGTTAGGTTTTTAATCTAAGTGTTTTCCCAATCTAACAGACCTGTTTTGTCATAGGAGTTGAGTAATACAGGATATTTCTAAGTAGATCTATCCTGTGCTGAAAAAGAAATTTAACAGAAAAAGAACAAAACTGTTTTCTTGAAGCTAGTCACTTTGTGTGCACAAAAGCCTACAAAACTAAGAAAAGAGCAGGGTTGTGTGCTTATGAAACATGTACATAATTTCTGTAGTAACAAGTATAGGAAAGGGAACTCCGAAGACAGGTGGGTTGTTTTTTTTTTTTTTTCAACCAATCTGACCAAAACATGGAGTTAAAGGGGTACTATTCACTCACTGCATTGAAAAAGTTTGTGGCAGTGATTCTCTTGTGCATGTCCTGGCACAAGTATGCTACTGACGTCCCTGCTCAAGCTAGTGCTAGCAAGGCTTCTTGCGTTTCCCTTAACCACTACCAAGCAACTTATAGCTCCCAGCTTATTTCTGCTTGACTAATCTCTATTCTGCAGCTGCAATGGACATATGCCAAGCAAGGGTAAAAATACCTGGTTATTCCTCCTCTAGTCCTATGGAGGCTCCTTGGGTTTTGTTTTTGTTTTTTCATCACATGCAAATGTACCCCCATTGCCTCAAAGGCTCTACTCCTGCATACATCTTTCTGCCTGTTACAAGAAAAAAAACTTCTTTGGTCTGTCTTCCTTTCCTACACAGCTCTGCCCCTAGTGAGCCTCCTCTGCAGGACTTCCCTCCTCCCACCCATCCAGCCCCACACTCTGACAAGTGCCTTCTCTAAAGTCAGCCCTTCCCATTGCTCTGGTCTCCCCCTTGTAAACTACATGGTTTTGCCTCTGAGCATATCTAAAGGTGTGTTCTGGTATTTACCTTTGACACCCTGCATTCTTTTAGCCTTCCATGTGACAAGAGATAACTGAAAGGATCTCTACCACTGCAGATGACAGTTGCTATATACTCGAGATGAAAAACAACCCATCTATCCTGGAGGCAGAAGCCATACAGAACCCTCTGCCTTCCTCCCCTCACCATACTTGGCTAACTTCAGCATGAACTTGGAGCATTCAGTGCTGAGACATGCTATCAAGCAATTTCCACAGCATTTTTTTTCCCTTTAACACCTGAGGTTTCAGAGATAGGGTCTCCTAGCAGAAGACTTGCACCAGGAATCATTAGATTTAATGATACTCCACTTCCACAGGATGGAGGCAGGGATAGAGAAGTGAGACATTGCAAGAACTCCCAATACATGGGTCAAAGGCTGTAAAAAAGCCTTTGTACAGGAAGCTATAGGTTCTGCTATTTTAGCACATTCAGGCCAAGCTTACGTGCAACTTCCATCAAGTTTTGGCATTACCTCTAGCAGAAGGTAAGTCAATAAGTAGAAATATGGTAGAGTCAGTCAAAAATAAATACTACTTTCAGTGTTGTCAGCTCAGCATTCCATCTAACAAAATACTGTTATTTTTTTTCTTCAAGTAAGAAGGTATGTCAGGCTCTGCATGACTGTTTCTTACGTAGGTTTTACCGAGGGTGTACCAAGAGTACACTGAAAAAGCCACTAACTTCTCTTCACCTCAAACAGATAAAAACTTTTAGCTAAAATTCTGACTCAGATCTTCCATTGTGTAAGACGAACAACTTTTCCCTCACTGTGCAAGACAGCATATGAACAAAGCCAGAAACATATATAACGTTGCAAAGCACACCGGCAAAGAAATTGGGAGCATTATGAGAAGCAATGAACTCTGTTTCTGTCCTGTTACCTGCTGGTACTCTA